TCATTTACCACCACTAGTATCTGAAGTCGATTGAATATGGATAATTAGCAAAGGAAAAAGGAAGTGGAAAGAAGGGACTAAAGAGTGGTGGGAGAGTGAATGTTGTGGCTCCCTCTGCCACACTATGCAGTGCATATTGCAGTAATAAATACCCCAATAATGAATAAACCATGCAGGATAACATACACACTAAAACCCTAGGTGTTCAGGCTTCTGAAGAAGGCATGGGAACGCAGGCTGATATTCACTGTTGCAACGTCCAATACAACAGGACAAGATGACACTGTGGTATGGAATGAAATTCACCACAAGACGGAAGCGTTCTCTAATATTTCAGGCCATGGTTTTCCAGATCCTAATTACCTGGACAATGTTTTAGCAGAACTGGCGGTGCAAGGCATTGACGATAGTGATGATGATGGTGATAAAGTTTAAATTTTAAAACTCAAAATGGAAATTATATCATTGGCTGTCATTTGCATTACTCGGAATATGACGTACATAAGAAGAGAAGCTAACCAGAAATCCTTTCATAATCTGTACGTTAGAGTGGAATGTGAAAACCAATCGTATCCCTTTTAGATTTTCATTACCAAGGAAAAAATTGTGACCAGGGGCGGATCCAGGGGAGAGTGCAGGGGGTGCGCACCCCTCCCTGGTTACATTTTGTGCTACTACTTCGAAGATAACCATTTTTGTTTTTTGCCTTTGATTTTAAGGGGTGCACCCCTCCTTGGGTTAACATTTGCGCAGCACCCCTCCCTGAAGAAAAATCCTGGATCCGCCCCTGGTGGCAGAACCACCACCCGGTTAGCTCAGTTGGTAAGAGCGTCGGTCTGTTGTGCGGGAGGTCATGGTTCAAGCCTCGGCCTGACCAACACTCAGGGTCTTAAAATAACTGAGGAGAAGGTGCTGCCTTTGTAATTATATCTGCAAATGGTTAGACCTTCAGGTCTTCTCAGACAAGGACTTAAAACCGTAGGCCCCATCTGTCTTCACTATGTAACCCTGTATAAGGCGGACGTTAAAGATCCACTGAAGACGCTGGTGACGACCATCTTCAGTGCCTGCGCTAACCGGCTGCCTTATCAATTGGGCCGCAGGCCTGTTAGGCATCCAGCCATCCACCTAGGGTGGTAAATGCACTAAACCTTTTGCTAATGGTGACAATGATGATAGTACAGGTAATGATGGTGGTGTTGTTAGTAGTGGTGTTAGTGGTGTGTTGGCGTAAAGTAGCTTAGATTTGCAGACCCCAGGTATGCCTGAACATTGGTCCTGAAAATTGGAGATATTTATATATGATAATGATAAAGATAATCATTCTGATGTGGATGTTTAGATTGCAAAGACATTAATATATACGTTTTTCCATTCTGGATTCTCCTTTCTTTTTATAAATTCGGAAATAGTGATTCATGATTACAAAATATAGCAGATATCGCATTCATTATTTAAGCTGAATTATCAAATTTCATAAAATTGTAGGTCATAATTGAACTTTTAGATTTATCATTAATAATTGTTATTTTTTGCAAGAAAATAGTCATAAACTACTATGGGGACTTTTCTCAATAAAAAGCCTCATATATAAAGAAATAAAGGAGAAAAGTCTGTCAAAACCACAGAGGAATACTCAAGAGTAGTGCTTTGGTCTTATAAGACCCTACATGTGTGTTGAGACATTCCCATTTAGTTTTGAAAACAAATAACTTATTGCCCGTCTTTCAATATTTGTCACCTCTGGGTGCCATAAATCTAACATGAGTACAATTCTGTTGCCAGTCTGTCCTTGGTGCCATACTTCATGTAAATAAGAGTCGTCAAACAACATTGGTTTTCCTTCTGTCCATGTCTTTTCTTCCTGGTCGACACATATTAGACACCCATCGGGTATCTTTAAGGGAACATGACACCTAATCCTACAGTTTGTAGGACCATAGTGAGGTGTTATATGTGTTCCTGGCAATACCATTGAAACCATAGCATTTCCAAATGCACAGCCCTTCATAAATGGTGCAATACTTTCAATGAGTTCCACAGTCCTTGGACACTGTTTACAATTCCATTCTAATTTTTCCCCTTGATTGTAAAGATGGAAAACATACCAGCTGCCAGAAGGAGACGTATTTCTAACCCAACCTCTTGATAACTCACTAGAAATTTTAGAAACCTCCTCTTTGATGATAGCAAGATTTCCTACCGCTGTAATGTCCTTTAGTTCGGACTCGTAATTATCGTGCCAGGGGATCGACGTCAGACCTAGAAGCCCTAAAGTAGTAGGTCTCTGTCGAACACAATCAGAAGCACTTGCATCTGATATTAAAGATTCATAAAGACGGTCTAAAGCCTGAGGATTTGAGTTGGTAACGGAAACAAATTCCTCTAGTTTTTCTAAAAGAGTGTCCTTCTCCAGGAAAGCTGATCTGCAGCGAACACATTTGGGCGATGTGCAAAAGTTGTTCTTCGATGTGTTTGGATATTGTAAATACTGCCTTAAGAAGCCATTGAACAACGCTAGCGCAAGGAACACTAGTATGGCTATAATTCCATTGACTATGATGTAGTAAAGTAGTGGACTTGCTTCAAAAATCATGGTTGTTTGTTGACAACAGAGGAAAATCCATGGGGTTCGTCCGCCATGTTGTTTTTGTGTAGTTACTAGGCCCCTCTCGACATCAGGTGATCGGTCTGATGATCAGTAAATAATCAACCTTGCTTTTTTTGATCAAGCTTTTAGTTCTCTAATTACTGTCATTATCTTTTGGTAAACGATGTATATGACCAAAAAACGTGTTTAATTTAATTTTTTCTGTTAAATTTAGATAGAGTTTCAAAATGAAAAGAAAACACACACAACTTTCATTATTTTACCCACAATGCATTTCCGTTAACAAAAATGGCGGGGAATGCCGAAAAAAATAGTGGTGCTTGGGTATTTCAAAATACAAGGTTATTAAGAAAATGGGCTGTTCTACTATGATTGTGTAATCATGCTTCCATCTYGTGTTAATGTCTAAAATCAAATCAATTTGACTTCGAATTTTAGTGATTTCATAGATTTCCAAAATCTGTAAAATCACTAAAGTTCGAGGTCAAATTGATTTGTAGTTTTGAAATTAGATTTAAATATATAGAATATATTCATGACATTGGCCAGGGCCGTTGAGAACCGTTTTCCTTAAAACGACTAATATCAAGCTTCTCCTTCCTATTTGTGGGGGCTCGATTCCTTTTTTTTTACCATAACTTGAAAATTTCTCGCGCGCTGATTGGCTTAGAAACATTGTCGATTAGAGGCTACACCTGCTTGTGCTTACGACATCCGTCACGCCCACTGAGCGAGCGGATAAAACGGCTTTTTCAAACTATTTACTTGTCTTTTTTTTCAATTTTTTCGACTTCGTTATGGTAAAGAAACAAATCAAAGTCAGTTTTCTTTGGGTCTGTACTGTAATCGAACATGAAATGACGTCAAAAATGATCCAAACTTTGCAGTGAAACCACTCGCGACAGACATAGAAAACTTTTGACTCATTTGTTCGGGGGTAGGGTCAGGTGATCTATAAGTGCCCATAGCCTATTGACTTGCATTCAATGTGTTTGAGACGAACATTTGTAAAAGCAAAATCAGTGAAGCTTTTATATATTAATGTGTGGTTACTGTTTTGCGTTTTTATTTAGATTTTAAAATCTTCTCTAAAAATCTAAGATTTTTTTCACAATTTTATTGCTGATCACTACAGCTTGTGTTTTGTTACGATGACCAAACTATTGTTGTCTGGACACACTAGATAAGGTCGAATAACTCGTATATTTTTCAGTGCACTTTTGTTGTCTATGAAAGAGGGCTTAATTTGGGGCGGTTATGGCAAAACAGTCCTCTGAACACAAATAAGTTAAACTAGATAGAGTTCAATTAATATTTTGCTTGCCGACAAAATTTCAAACAGGTTATTTCTTGATATTGTTCCTGTTGGGGCATAGCTCTAGGACATCTAGGCAAGGTCCATCCCACTCCGGATGTGTAGCTATTTATTATATTGATCAAAAACAGATCAAAACGGGAAAATTTCCCGAGATAGAACACCGCACTCGTACGTTAATGCTTAGATTTTCGGGTTTCCTGTGGAGATTTGCCCTCTCAGTTGTCCTGTTTTAACACAGGGAACCCAGAAGTGAAGGTTGCCGATGGCCAAGCAAAATCACCGATCGCACGCGTCGATTCGATTGAAGTTGAATCTTGTTTTGATCAATCAGAAACAAGTGCGCAACAAGGAATCTCATTAACAACGTGACATTAACGTCTGGAACAAGAAATTTTAGCATACAGGGTTCAAATAAAAGGTTAGACCGTCCAGAACGATCCAACCAACGTGTCAGTTCTTGATCAGTCAATTCTGTTTTTTAGCGCAATACAGCGTAATGTAACCCCGTGGTATCCGTTGACGTGAGATGCCGTGGATGGGGACGTGTTGGGGGCGAGTTAAAAGATAGTTACGCAACATGATGACAAATGTTCTTTCTCAAGATCACTGTCACAAAAAATAGATGTAAATACTCAGGCAGCCCAAATAAAGTTCTTGTGTACACTTTCTCGAGCTCAAGCTTTGCACAGGTTCCTAACTAAAGCACATTTAACAACATCATATCAATTGATTTCAACTTTACAATTCTATATTAGCTGACACATAAATTTACAGTAAATTGGGCACAAGAATGTTGCTTGGGATGCCTGTGGTAGATGTGTTGTAAATTTGCCATTAAAATTTGGTAAAATTCCCACAAAAGCAGGGCTTGGGCTACCTGCCGGTAATCTTAAAATTTTCTCGAACCCTGCGTGCAGGGCAGGAAGTGCTCAATGACTGATGAAACGTAACCCCGAAGGATCCGTTGTTCTGATCTTGGTGCACAGTTACAATTTTATTGAAACCCTGAAAGAGCCTCTTTGCCAATATAAGAACAACGGATAAACGGATAGAGGGGATAAACTCACGACATAAACTCGAGGCCCGGATGTATACAAATTAGTCAGTAGATTGACAACATGAACTGCTCATTTCCCGACAGATTAACTCTGGTTCAAACAAAAGTGATACCTTATCGTTAGCTCTTGTAAATCCACCAGGGGTCGTGTGTCGAAGTTTCTTAGCTATATCTTTGAAGGACCTTTGTTCTTCTTCGTGTTTTTATAAGTTTTGTTTTGTCTTGCTTTCAGTGTTTGTTGTATTTTTCCTTTGCTGCAAAACAATATATGTTTCAGTTGGGGTAGGCCATTTGTTAAGGTGGCTGCCTACTTTTGAACGTTCGAATTGAGCCCACGATGAGCGCGCGCTCAAAAACCGCTGAAAAATCTACAAGATTTTATTGAAGAACCATACGCGTTTTGAGCTTCAACAGGGCAAAACCCTCAAATTTTGCACGGGACTATATTTTTTGATAGCTCATTCGAAAAAACTCCTAAAAATCTAGGTTATATCAACATTTTAGGAAAAGTTTAAATCAGGAACACGTGAAAAAATAGATTTTTGTAGGGATTTTTGTTCGACTTTATGAGATTTTTTGCCCCCCAAGCAATATGGCGTCGAAAACCGTGAAAGGGTCTATTTTTGAATCCGATCGACTGTAGAGAAGGAATAAAATAAACAAATTTCATTCGATTCCCTCGTCCCCATTCCCCTCCCGGCCTCCACATAGCGCCGCTACACAGGCTAAACGATATTATGCCCAGGTCGATCTTACTGTAATAAATCCCTCTGGATTGTTTTACTTTGTGGTCAAAAGGTTGTTGACAGAATTGCACATATCTGTGTACGAGCGGGCAGCGTACGTGAGGGTGTTCGTTTAATCTTTCTTGGCCTAAGTAGTTATGATATAAGCATTATTTTAACACCTGGAATACCCTAAATGAGTGCACGACCAGTCTTGTTAAATTCTTTAGATTGATGTAATAATGCTGCAAGCGATGTTATTCGTGTCGTAAATCAATCACGCGATCAAGGTACTTCAGTTCTCAAAAAAAAAACAACAACAAAACTTTAAATTTCCTATTAAAATGATATGCATTTTTGTGTGTTATGCTTTATTTGTTAAACGTGGTTCCCATATATGCATGGCCGCACAGATTATTGAAACCTCACAAGAGGAATTCCAATGGCCAATCTTTAAATAAAGCGAGGGGAAAGGGGGGGGGGGAAAGGACGTGTATCGGGAATCCTGCACATGCATGCCTCTACCAGAACCTGACCAGTACCAAAAAAAAAAAAAACTAGCTATTTCTACTACTTTGATAAGATTTGATAAGGTAACACTAATATAAGCTTATGTCGATTTAGACGAAACTCCAGGTTCAAACTGCATTTCAAAGCTAATCCTCTGATATGTGGACAAAAATAGACAGTATAGTTTCAACAACAGATCTCGACTTAATTCCCGATAAAACAATTCAAAGGAAGCATCCAAAAGTCAAAATATAAATATTCGGCAAATTTTGTTGACATATAAAATCATGGGATAAAGGTAATACCGGTTTTGGTGGCACCAGTAAGAAAGCATCCGAAAGTCAAAATAAAAACATTTTAAAAAGATTACAAATGCTTTGCCGAAACCGTGTCAAGTAAAAACTTCAGTTCACGAAGCATTGTTTATTATTTTCGGTACCTGTTTTTCGGAGGTGACCAGTACGTGGCCCGTTATATCAGTGTTACGTTTGGGATTTGAAATTTCAAGGCTCGGAGTACGTGGAATGAAAGGTGTCTAAAAAGTTCAGTCTATGGAATAAAGTTTCCTCTAATTTTTTTTAATCTGAAGTACGAGGACTTAACCTTGAAGGATAGACATTTAAGTTGAGCCTTTACAGTACGAACAATCTATATGACGTTAATTGAAGCCAGTTTTTTGACCCTCTTAAAATCTGTCAAAAACTGACTGTTAAAAACAACAGACCACGTTGAAGGCCAAAAACAGACGATGAGCACCTGAGACCTGAAAGGTTTTATGCCCAAATTGGCTTAACGAAAAACGTGAGCTACAGTCGGATCGTCATTAATTCAATTACAACAAGTCGAGGATCAGAGGAGAAGCGTTAGTGATGGCTCCTGTTAACCATAGTGCTAGCTTAGAAGAAGGAGAAGTTCCCTTGGATGCTAATTTTGTTCAACAGTATGAGGAACCCCAGGTGTTGCGTATAGTTCGTTTAACTGTGTTTGCGATCATAATGCTTGGTTCTTTGGTTGGTAATACCGTGGTCATACGTGCAGTAGTTCGTGCAAAAGGATTCAAGACGGTGACTTACTTTCTAATCTGTAATCTAGCCTTGGCAGAAATCGTCAGTTCCTCTTGCCTACCTTTTATGCAGGCTTATGATGATCTCGCATCTTGGCCATTCTCCGATGCTATGTGCCATTTGATCAACCCGCTGCAACTGACCGCAGGAATTGTTGTTACAACGTCCATTACTGCCATTGCCATGAATCGATGCTTGTTGGTCGTCAGACCCCGTTTGCATGGTTCTTCTAGTTGCACTGTAGGGGCCTTCTGTTTAAACCTCATAATATGGGCCTCAGCGTTCGTCATTGCAATGCCTTCTTTTATCTACATGACGAAGATTCCTTCAGCAAACAAGGATGGGAAGTTCTGGTGCGTGACATTGTTCCCGGGAGATGCTATCGAAAATGGCTATCCTTCGTCACGTGTGCGAACGTTGATTACATTGCACCTCATACTAAACTATGCAGTCCCAATCACACTAACAATTATCTCCTACAGCGTGGTGATCGCAAAGTTGAAATTCCAGTCCCAAGTTGCAGTCGCACATATCGTCAGATACGCCTACGATAACACCGAAACCCAAACGGAAAGGTTTGAAATGTCGAACGAAAGCTGTCAGCGAGAGAAGAAAGAGTCCGAAAGACGCAGCACTGAAACACCAAACGAAACTCCCGCGTTTGGGCCTAAAACGGATCCCAAACAAGAGAACCCAGCCCCAAGGGACGAGCTGCGCGAGAATGAGTCCGACTTACTGAGGATGTTCTATGCTATAGTAGTGATCTTCATCGTGTGCTATCTGCCGTACCAGACGTTCTTTATGCTGGAATACATGGGCCAGCTGTCGTGGAAAAATTGGGAATACTTTAGTGTGACAAGAAAGTTTCTGTACCTGTTGACGTGCTGCCCTAGCGCTTTGCATCCTATTTGCTATGGAATGATGAGTCGATTTTATTACAAAGCATTCGCCAAGCTTGTGCTTTGTAAATGAAGAAAGTCTTGAAGTTAAAATTAGCATTTTTATGATGGAAAATAATGTGAAGTTTAGAATTCAAACGTTGCCGCAGCTATGAACTTTTACCTGAAAAGGGGATATGGTCGTTCTGTTTGGAAGAACGTGAGCTTTTCTGGCAAAACTGCACACCTAAAAAGAACCGCTTCTAAACTGCATTCTTAGATTAGGTTATACATCTGAAACTGATATCATTTAAAATCATTTATACTGAATAAGTGATAGTATTGATATTGATAATATGAAGTGAATTTCTTTTGTGTAATTCAATCCTCAAAGAAATTTCGTTATGTCGAAATTATATGTAGAAATAACCGGGGAAATAACCAATGAAAGTAAGCTACGGTACAAAATATATAATACTAAGGATGTGGTATATAGCATTTAATATCAGATATTGCAAATATTGCCGCATGAAATTATTTTATATTTTCTCTACCAAGTTAAATTCCATGAATAGTTTTATCTTAGTTTTCAAAATATCATCTGCTTGTAAATATTTAAAATCATAAGAAAAATCATATGAAAAAGTTCTTGTAGAATATTGACGAACTTTACCTAAAGTAGTCGATCACTCATACGATAATTAGAGAAGCTGAGACTAGCTTGTTAAAACATGAACGTGTATATAAATTCAAAATAATTACAATAATAGATAAAAAATATATACAAAAACTTCGCAATAATAACCATTTTACTAAATATAAACAATATTTTGTAGAAATAGAAATAAAACGATTGAAGTATCAGAATAAGTTGGGGTGTGTAAATAAATCAAGAGATTTGTTACATGCGCTAAGACTTGACTCAAAATAGTGAGACAAACTAAAGGAATAGACGAGGGTGCATTACGCACGGGTCAGCAAGTTAGTTTACAGATTGGAGGCGTAGAAAATTAGTGCATGGGAAAAGGTATAATCAGTTGAAGGAAGAGGTGGATGGAGGAGGAACGGGAAAGAAAACAGAAGGAGCTGGATGTAGAAGTTGGCTCGTGTAAGTGCAGAGGAGTAGATGAAGCAGTATGGCAGCGAAAAAGAACGTGTTGGGTTGTAGTCACAAGAGGAGTGGGCGATTGGTAGGAGATGGGCAAGATGGAATTGAGACAAAAGCGAAAAACAACAGGGCATTACTGTGGGACTGAGCCGAAGAGTGTGAAGGGCGATCGATATTTGCGTTATTATGAGAGGAAAGCTAGAGCAGGGAATTCCTCATGCTATACTATATTCTATACTATAGGAATCAATTCTTTTATAAAAATTTCATTCCGGACTGAATTGCGTCGATCCGAGATATTATTGAATGATTTTCCTGAGAACGATATTCTTGTTCATCATATCCGAATTACATCATATCATCCTGAATGTTGAATAAATACTGCTAAAGCGAATGAAGGTCATGATATTGGGTCTGTATTACAGAACGTGCGCTTCATGCTGGAACGCCTTTTCAAAATAACTAACACCACTTAAGCGGCGTTACTTAGCTGTTCGAATTGGGTAACTGTGCCAAGTATTTGAATCATTCATATTGAACACGTCCTGTACATATTAGAGGATGGTTGCTAGGGTCCTTCAATAATTATTATACTCACTTGACACTTTGAAGCAAGCTACTGCTACTGCTACTGCTACTGCTACTGCTACTGCTACTGCTACTGCTACTGCA